AAGTGCGTCCCTCTATCACTAATCAAAGCCCTAGGCACACCAAATCTCGCAAAAACATTAGACTTTAAAAACTCGATAACCGTTTTGGCATCGTCCGATCTTGTGGCTTTGGCTTCAACCCATTTAGAAACATAGTCAACCGCGAGTAAAATATAAACGTTGCCAAATGACACGGGAAATGGGCCCATAAAATCAATCCCCCATACGTCAAAAATTTCACAAACAAGGATTGGATTTTGGGGCATTTGGTTCTTTTGCGAAATGTTTCCCGTTCTTTGGCACCGCTCACAACTTTTGCAAAACATATAACAATCGCGTGACATGGTTGGCCAAAATAATCCACATTCAAGGACTTTTCTCAAAGTCCGGCTAGGTCCGAAGTGTCCCCCACAAGCAAATTCATGACAAAATTGCAAAATGGATTGGTGCTCTTGTTGGGGCACACATCGCCTAATGATTTGATCGGGACAATGTTTCCACAAATAGGTTCATCCCACACATAGTATTTTGCATCACTTTTCAACTTGTCTTTTTGAGAACGCGTGAATGTGTCGGGATACCTTTTTGTGACCAAAAAGTTAACGATATCGGCATACCAAGGAATAGATTGGGTAAGGGAAAAGAGATGCTCATCCGGAAACTCGTCCCGCAATGGGAGAGGAGTTTCATTTGAAATGATCCGACTTAGATGATCGGCAACGAGGTTCTCGCATCCGCTCTTATCCCGGATTTCCAAGTCAAATTCTTGTAACAGTAGGATCCACCGGATGAGTCTCGGCTTTGCATCTTTCTTCGTCATCAAGTACTTAAGAGCTGCGTGATCCGAATACACTATGACCTTGGTACCAAGTAGGTATTGTCTAAATTTCTCCAAGGCGAACACTATGGCCAATAGCTCCTTCTCCGTGGTAGAGTAGTTGCTTTGGGCATTGTCTAGTGTCCTTGATGCATAATAGATCACATGGGAGGCCCTCCCATTCTTTTGACCCAAAACGGCGCCAATCGCATAGTTGCTTGCATCGCACATGATCTCAAAAGGGAGATCCCAATTTGGTGCTTGCATGATGGGAGCGGATGTAAGCAACTCTTTGAGCTTGTCAAAAGCTTCTTTGCACGCCTCATTGAACTCGAAATCGACCTCCTTTTGCAAGAGTTGGCACATTGGTCTTGTTATCTTTGAAAAATCCTTGATGAATCTTCGGTAGAAACCTGCATGGCCCAGAAAAGAACGAACTTCCCGAACACAAGTCGGGTAAGGTAAGCTTTGAATAACATCAATTTTTGCCTTATCTACCTCAATTCCTTTTTTAGACACAATGTGACCCAAAATGAGACCTTGACTCACCATGAAATGACATTTCTCAAAATTCAAAACCAAGTTTGTTTCAATGCATCTTTTTAAAATTTTTGTGAGATTAGTCAAACATTCTTGAAAAGAGTTGCCATGTACCGTGAAATCATCCATAAAAACCTCAATTATGTTTTCAACATAATCCGAAAAGATACTAACCATACAACGTTGGAAAGTGGCCGGGGCGTTACACAATCCAAATGGCATTCTCCGGTATGCAAAAGTACCAAATGGGCATGTAAATGTTGTCTTTTCTTGGTCCTCCGGTGCCACCGGGATTTGGTGAAAACCAGAGTACCCGTCTAGACAACAATAATGGGATTTCCCGGCCAACCTTTCTAACATTTGATCAATGAAAGGCAATGGGAAATGATCTTTTCGTGTGCTCGCATTGAGTTTGCGGTAGTCAATACATACTCTCCACCCGTTTTGCACACGGGTGGGAACCATCATACCTTTGTTGTTCTCGACCACCGTGATTCCCGTCTTCTTTGGAACGACTTGCACCGGACTCACCCACTTGCTATCCGAGATTGGATAGATCATCCCCGCATCAAGAAGCTTTAATATCTCTTTCTTCACGACTTCCATCATTGGTGGATTTAGCCTTCTTTGCGCGTCTCTACTTGGCTTGCATTCATCCTCCATTAAGATTTTGTGCATACAAGTGGAGGGGCTCAAACCCTTGATATCCGCAATCGTCCAACCCATAGCTTCTTTATGCTCCTTCAACACCTTGAGGAGTTGCTCTTCTTCAAATTCGGTTAAATGAGTTGAGATGATAACCGGAAGGGTTTCATTCTTTCCCAAGTAGGCATACTTCAAGTGTTGAGGTAAGACCTTTAATTCCAACTCGGGTGGTTGAACAAGGGATGGAGACAATTTTGTATGAGTTTGGGACAATTCAATTTGCTTGACATCTAATCTTGTGGATTTTTTCATTTCCATTTTATTTACCAACTTCTCAACTTCCGGATCCAAAGAATAAAACTTTAATTGCTCGGCTAGCTTCCCACAATCGAATCCTTTGCTCAAGATCATCTCCAACATATCACCGTTAGATAACTCAAACAATTCTTGAGTAATTGGCTCAACAACATCAACAAAGTACAAAGATGAAACATCACTAGGATATCTCATGGCATCATAATATTAAAACTTATTGTTTCACCATCAAACTCCATTGTCAAACTTCCCGCATACACATCGATCTTTGTCCTAGCCGTCTTCAAAAACGGTCTCCCAAGCAATATTAGAGCCGATTTGGAAGACACTTGCTCATCTAGATCAATCACATAGAAATCCGCCGGGAAGACTAATTGGTTCACTTGCACTAGGACATCTTCTAAAACACCTCTAGGAAAGACACTTGATTTATCCGCAAGAGAGATTATGACACCGGTTTCACTTAAGGTCCGACATTTAAAGATTCATACACTGAATAGGGCATGACATTGATAGAAGCACCAAGATCAAGCATAGCACTACTAAAAGTGACATCTCCAATCTTGCAAGGAACCGTGAACATTCCGGGATCTTTGCATTTGGGTGGAAGTTTCCTTTGTAAAACCGCGGATGCGTTTTCGTTCATCAAAATTTTCTCATTTCCCTTCAACTTCCTCTTGTTGGTACAAAGTCTTTCAAGAACTTTGCATATCTCGGGATTTGCTTGATTGCATCAAGTAGAGGGATGTTTACTTCCACCTTTCGGAAGGTGTCCAAAATCTCTTTCTCCTCCATATTCTTCTTTGAAGTTGCAAGTCGAGAGGGGAATGGTGGTTGAGTGGCTATTGGTGTTACTAGAGGAATGGACTTCTTTGGAACTCCGGCTTGTGCATCGTTCTTGACTGTAGGTTCTTCAATGGGAATGATCTCTATTTCTTCCTCTTCTTCCCTTGGCTTCTTCTTTGAACTACTTTCTCCGGCTTGCTTGCCACTTCTCAAGGTCACCACATTGACATTTGGGTTCTTTTCGGTTTGAGAAGGGAGTTTACCACGAGATTCCAACTTGCTTATAGATGTAACTATATCTCCCATTTGTGCTTCAAGGTTGGAGATACTAGTCCTTGTCTCTTTTTGGAATTGTTGGGTACTAGTGGCTAGAGATTTGACAATGTCTTCAAGAGACATTCCGGAGCTACTTGGTTGAGATTGAGGAGATTGTTGATGATGATGTGGAGGGTGCGGTTTGGATTGATAGTGTGGTTGTTGATGTTGTATTGAGGTTGTGGTGGTGGATAGGACGGTCTAACCAATGCATTGTGAGGCAATGGTCTTGGGTTGTAGCTTCCGTTGGGATTTGGTTTCCAACTTGAATTATATGCATTTTGGTACCCGGATGGTTTGTTGTGGTAGTTTTGGAATTCTCCCGTGGCATTCACATGCTCCGCATCTTCTTGAAGGATGGGACACATATCCGTAGGATGTCCCATGGTTGCACATATTCCACAAACCATCACTTGTGGAGTTTGTCCCATGGCTAGCTTTTGGACGACGGATGTTAGATCTTTTATTTGAGACTCAAGATTCGATGTTCCCACTTCATTAACTTTGTGTTGTGTGTCTCTCTTCATGTCTTGGCGAGGGCCAAAATGTTGTGAATTTGCGGCTATGGTGTTGAAAAGTTGTCTTGTTTGTTGTGGGGTTTTACTAAAGACATCTCCACCACTTGAGGCATCAACTAGTCTTCTCTCCATTGGTAACAATCCCTCATAGAAGTGTTGAATGAGGAGTTGTTCCGGAATTTGGTGTTGCGGGCAACTATAGCACAAGTTGTTGAACCTCTCCCAATAATCATGGAAAGTCTCATTTTGACCTTGGCGGATTCCACAAATCTCATTTCGAAGACTTGAGACTCTTGAGGCGGGATAAAACTTGTCAAGGAAAGCTCTTGCCATGTCGGTCCATGAGTTGATCGACCCCGGTGGAAGATAGAATAACCAATCTTTTGCTCTATCGGCCAATGAAAAGGGGAATGCCCTTAGCTTGATTTGGTCATCGGTTGACCCTTGTGGCTTCATGCTAGTGCAAATAATGTGGAACATCTTCAAATGCTTATGAGGGTCTTCATTCTCCAATCCATGGAAAGTCGGTAGGTGATGGACTAAACTTGACTTCAACTCCGAGCCTCCTTCCAAAACCGGGTAATTGATACCGGTTGGAGTTTGTGTAACATCGGTCTCCATCATTTGCCTCAAAGTTCTTTCGGGAACTTCTCCTCCGTCCGCCATTTCAATTGGTTCAATAATGGGTGGATTTTGTTGTAGGGGTGGTGTTTCGGGAATTTCTTGGCGAAGGTCGGGACTAGAATCGGGCTCTATATCGCT